CACACACACACATGCAGACACACACACGCACGCACACACACGCAAACACACACACACACACTAACACAGACACGCACACACACACACATGCAGACACACACACGCACGCACACACACGCAAACACACACACACACACTAACACAGACACGCACACACACACACATGCAGACACACACACGCACGCACACACACGCAAACACACACACACACACATGCAAACACACACACGCAAACACACACGCAGACACACACACATGCAAACACACACACACACACATGCAAACACACACGCAGACACACACACATGCAGACATACACACAGGTTTGTAATTATATCTTGGTGGGGAACACCTTAACCCCTACCCAGCCCTAACCTTAACCATAAGTAACCAAGTAACCAAGTAACCAAAAAATATTCAAGACTTTTGGCATTTTTACTTTTTCGATTGCAGTTACAGATTTTTGAAAAATTGAGGTTATCAAAATTGGGAAAAAAATGTTTCTGGTTTTACCACACATTGGGGACATTTTTGTCCCCAAATGTGATCTATGCAAATCGAGACACACACACACGCACACCCACACACACACACTCACACACACACACACACACACACACAGATTAAATATATATGCTATATAATGCAATGATGCTTCAGCTTCCCTTTGATAGATATAATAGATTAAATGGCTAAATGATCATTGTACAAGTATGAAGACCAAAAAATTTCATGTCCCATCCGGCTCTCTGGTGAGTCACATGCATGAAGGTCAAGGTCCAAACATAGGGTCAGCCGTTTGTCCAACACCCTTGGAACATTTTTTGGGGTAAAGGTCCTTGCTCAAGTGTCCACTCTGCCGGGCCTCAACTCAAACCACCAGCACAGCTGTAAAAAGCAGAGGGTTCCCCACAACATGATATTATTCTATACTATCCAGTTTTATGATTTAATGCTGAGCTGTTGTAGTTCTCGGTGTGTTTCTCAGTCTTTGCCATTTCTGGGGGAGTGGTTTCTATTTTGATAGCAATACCTGTGTGATGTCATTTTTGGTGGTTGGGGGGTCAGATGTCCATGTGCTTCTGAATGGAGCTGAATAAATGTAATATTACATAAGCTGCTTTCCTCCTGCCCCCATTGCCCCCGCCCCAGGTGTGCCCATCCCCTGAAGACAGCGAGGGATTCGATGACACTCTTGGCCTCTGCGTGTGCAGCCCGGCCTTTGGGGGGGGCGAGGTCTGCGGACCCTGGTGTGAGGGGTGGGCCCCTCGTCCGGCCGCCTGGCTGGTGTGCGCTGGTGACCTGAGGCTCCTCTACGGGGACAGCAGCCTGCGGGTGGGCCAACCTGACACACGTCACCTGTCCGCTCCCCCTCATGGGCAGGTCACATGGGGCGGCTTGTAGGGAGAGGGAGACTCTGGTCCATATACACTAGGGTGGGGTGAAAAAAATCAAAATTTCCAATAGCAATTTCCAATAGTGCGGAAAAGTTGTCACTGGACCTCGTTGTTAAACGTGCAAAATATCTTTGAAATACGTTAATATTTTCAGGTTCCACAACACGATCAAAGTTTTCACCTGTCACATCAATGGGCAATATACGCTATCCATTATCTAATATACACCAAATGCTCACAGAATATGCACACAGAGAATACACACAGACCTAGCTGGACATAGAAAAAGGCACCTTCACACCAACGTTCCGGAACCTGGTCCCTGTTTACAATTTACTGGGCCGACTTGACCTGGAACTCGCTTCGGACAAGAGCACCTGCTAAAATAAAAAATGTAATGACTATTAACAAGACGATCACAGAAGTGAAGAAAGTGGTGGGAGTGCAGTGTGTCAGTGTGCAGTTTCCACACTGCAGGCCAGTGTGCCGACCAGGGTGCTGGCCTCCCTCCTGAAGCCGTGGACCTGGCAGGAGAGCCTGATGTGTGCCGGGGGAGTCCACTTCTCACATGAGGTGTACCTGGTCCGGACTACCGGTGAGCAGCAAGGCTTGATCTGTTTGAATTGGTGTGTGATTGAGGCTGTGTACAGTTACAGTACCTATGATGGGCCTCTGACTGCAGAGTCGGGTTTTGTCGGGGTGGTGAATGCTGCTCCAGAAGACGTCCATCATTTGTTCCAGGAGACCCTAGAGAGCTCGCCAGGTCCATCCACGCCACCTGATGGCACAGGTCAGCTGACACGCAGACGGGGAGCTGTTAGTGTGCCTTACCACTCACGTCTCCCATGATGCTCTGGGTTTCGGTCTGTTTCAGAGAGCTCAGGCAGTGCCTCTGAGGAGGAAGGGCCACATTGGGCTAGATGGTCAAAAAGCAGGACTGGGAACTACAGCAGGGCGGGGCTCCTCAACCCCACCACATGCCTGCACCTAGGGGACATCCTGCTGTTCTCTGTCACGCCAGAGCACCACCCACAGTATGACAGGTGACCACCATCTCCAAATAAAGCAGAAAGATAATTTAATAATATCAGGGCAGTAAAGGTACTTATCCCAGATAGCACAGGGTACAAGGCATAGGTACACCTAGGACAGGGGTGTCAGTCTTTCGCAGAACACATAAAAATGGCAACAACAACAATAACAGTCCTCATCATCATCCCTTGCGGTTTTCTGTCTCCACACCAGGGATAACCTCTATAACACTAACGAAGGCTTCGACTGGGGGCCCTTTCGCAGCCTGGCTCAAGACATGTCTGTGAAGGGCGCCCCCCCCGGGCTGTTCTTGGTACTGTTCCACGAGCCGGGAGTCTATGCCTTCAAGCTGAGCAGCAACCCTCACAAGCACATGGTATTCTGGGTTTCTGAAGCCAGCCTGGCCTAATTACACCTACCATTAATGAGTCAGTTGTGTTTGCATGTGTTCTCATCGTCAGAACAACGGGGTTAATGTAGGTCCGCCACGTTGTACCTTTGTTCAGTTTGTGAAGGTCATGCCGTCGGGTGGGCAGTGCTATGAGGTTGGCCCGTTCTTTCCCACAATCCCACATCATGTGACCCGCATGGGCATCTCCCGGAAGCGTAACCTCCTGCTGCATCCTGATTGGCTGGTCATTTGGGGACTTCTGGCTGGGGCTGTGCTCATGCTGGGCATGTGTGTCACTCTGCTGGTGAGTAGATGTACACAAGAGCAGTCACACAGGTTTTATTAATCTGACATTACTGCTGATCTGAAGTTTAACCAGACAGGGGCTGGGTGATGGGCTGAAGGACTAATGGTTTCTCCTCCTAGGCCCTGTTTCGGGAGTACGGTTGGCCGCAGAAGGTGCCGATCCCCGTGCGCTACAGGGCCCTGCAGCTCAGGTACAGCCTGGATGACTACTCCTCCAAGGGTTCCAGCCTTGCAGCCGTGAAGAAGGTTCACCGTAACCTGCAGGCCTCAGAGTCAGAAGGCACGGCACAGACAGGTGCAACACGTCACCACAGCGTTCTCATGATGTTCTCATGATGTTCTCATGATGTTCTCACAATGCTCTCATAACGTCCCCACAATGCTCCTCATAATGTTCACACACTGTTCTCACAGCCTTCCTGCATTATAACAACCTTCTTGATGTCTTGCGAAATCTTGCTGATGCAAACTCCTGAAATGTTTCACGCCGCCTCCTGACACGCTGCCTCCTGACACGCCGCCTCCTGACACGCCGCCTCCTGACACGCCACCTCCTGACACGCCACCTCCTGACACGCCCCACGCCGCCTCCTGACCCGCCGCCTCCTGACACGCCACCTCCTGACACGCCACCTCCTGACACGCCCCACGCCGCCTCCTGCCTCCTGACCCCCCACCCGCCCCCTCCTGACTCCCGCTTCCTCATCCTGTGTGCAGTGTCACTGACAGCCCACGAGTTCTGGGACTACGAGCAGCAGGTGGACCTGGAGGCCTTCAGCAGCACCATGTTCTTCGAGGTCCTGTTGAGGCACAGCGTGTCAGTCACGGCTCGGCTGGGCCAGCTGAGGACCGAGGTGAGCCCACACAGCACCCTCACACACCCTCATCAGGTGTCTAACACTAGCAGAGTGGCTGGGTCAGTTTGCTGTAGGGCGCCTGACTGTTTCAGCCAAGTTCCACAAGATGGCGCCCTAGGCAACTGCCTAATGGGCTGAAGGCACTGCACATGCATTATGTTTATTAAGAGCCATTGTGGGGTGGCTGAACAGGATACAGATTTCCAGTGACATATCCATTTCCAGTGACATATCCATTTCCAGTGACATATCCATTTCCAGCGACTGATTTTCCCTTTAAGATGTTCATGCAATTAAGTTTTACGCAAATTTTTCATTTACAGAATGGTTAAGGGCTTATAACCTTACGCATGGGATTCAAAATCCTATAAAATGTTATAATAAAGTGAATTCCAGAGAATTCCATGTATGTGTTTCTGTGTATATGTGGGTATTTATTTACCATATAGTGAGGGCCAAATATACAATATAAATCACAATTTTATGGAATAATTTTTAATTGAAAAAAACTAAAACAGCCTAAAGTCTTGTATTTTGTTTGGTTACTAATGGTTAAGGGTTGCCTACTCATGTTAGGGTTGAGTAGGATTAGGGTAATCACTGTTTGCATTAGGGTTATGCCCTTAAAAATGGATGAAGAGTTTCCACAATGAATAGAATATGCAGCTCTGGAAAAAAAATTAAGAGAACACTCTATATTTTTAAAAAATCTCAATTTTTAAATCCTGGTTTAATCTTGGTTCTACTGGCAGAGGCTACACTGCAAGGTTAGCTGCTTCCAGGCTCAAAGTTTCTAAGACAGTAGTACACAAAAACGAGGTGAAGCAGGAGACACTGGCAATAACCAAAAATCAGCCAAGCAGAGGGCAGAAGCAGCGATCCAATGGCAGAGATGACCGTCAACTTATCCAGCAGTGCCTCATAATTCGGAGGGTGACCTCAAGTGACCTTCAAATGGAATGGGAAACATTAAGTGGTGTGAAATGCACTACTAGGACAGTTCATATGCTTCATATCAGAAGCAGGACTGATATTCCATAAAGCATGGAAGAAACCCTTCATCAATGAGAAGCAGGGAAGAGCCAGGCTGAAGTTAGCAAAAAAAAAAATATTTTCCTCGGATGCATTCCCATAAACTGAGAAATTAGTGAAACTAAAAATGTTGGTGTGGTCTCTTAATTATTTCCAGAGCTGCATGAACTGTGTATGTTTCTGTGTGTGTGTGTGTGTTTCTGCTTTTTTGTAATTATTACATTATGGGGACCAGATTTCCTCACAATGTGGTGTAAACCTGTAACTTTTTTTCTGTGTGTGCCTTTCTGCGTTTGTGCACATGTGCAGGTAAGGGAGCTGTACCAGGTGGTGGCTGGCTGGTTCAGGGCTCTGCGTGGCCTGGGCGGACGGGCCACTGGGACCGTCCCCCTGGGGTATGAGGAGCTGCGCAGGCACGTGGAGAAGGAGCAAGGCCGTAGGAGGGCTCTGGCTACGCAGCTGGGGCGTCTGCTGGACAGTCAGCTGCGCGTGCTGCAGATGGAGATGATGGCTCGGAGGCAGGCTCAGCAGGACTTCGGGGCGCGGCTTAGGGAGGCCCTGCGGCTCCTGGAGCAGCCCCCCCTGCACGCCGAGCAGCCCTGGGACCAACAGCTCCAGCAGTAAGCCGGGCCTGGCCCGCCCCCGCTCAGGAAGCCCGCAAGCCCATGTGGGCCTTGGTCCAAACATAACATGCTGGCTATACGAGTGGTGTTGTTAGCATGATGTCCCTCTGACCGGGAGGTTCAGTCTGTGCGCACTTAAGCTTATTTCTGGGACCCCACTCAAAAAGTCCCCACCTAGATGAATAAACAGCTAGCAAATACAGTCAGAATATCGTAGCTAGCTGGCTAGCAGATCATGCTGCGTCAGGAAATATGTAATATAGTGAGTGTTTGTGGCCAACAGGGGCACTCAAACCTTGGGGTCCCCAAGTAAATGTGTAGTTTGAGTGATGGTAAATACCTCCGCTATGCGCCCAGCTGAGTACCACCCCCCCCCCCCCCCCAGTGCCCAGGACCGGCTGTCCACCCTTGCCAGCCAGATGGTTGACCTGGCATCCAGGGAGTGCCAGCGACAGGGCGCATGGGCCATCCTGGGGGAGGGCACAGGGGCACAGCTGCTCTGCCCCACCCGTGGCATGGTCCTTACCAAGGAGGAGATCATTGGTGAGACACATCACCCCCAAAAGGGCCCCAGCGCCCTGGGAGGCTTCTGCACACCTTTTGGAAAGATTCTAATATGCAAAAAAATCATTTTGGCAAGAGAGACATATTAATCTGGAGAGGACGTTATTTAAAAACAAATTCATAAATCAAATATGAACTGTAACATAAGCTGTTCTCACTGATAAGCTGCTGTGTGTAATAGTGCAACCAATCAAGATGAGCACCAACACTGATGATGTACCAGTAGCTGAATGGAGGTGTTTCATCTCTTCCCCCAGCTGCAGATGGGGTCATTGTTGCCATAGAGGCCGTTTCTGTGGACCCCTGCACCGGCTTGCTGGTTCCAAAGCCCAATGCCCGCATGCGTGTACCCAGCGGCCACACCATGCCCGTGCCCTCGGACTTCGTCCTACACCCTGAGACAGGCCGGCTGCTGCCCATGGCAGGCAACGTGGCCTACAACCCAGCCAGCTCCACCCTGATGATCACAGCAGACACCCGTGCAGGTGTGCTTCTGCAAGGAGGTGACAGCAGGGGGTCGTGGTGTTTCAGTAACTGGAGCAAAAAAGGTTCAAATGCCAGTCAGGCAATCAGAGAGAGTGTAGTGTTCTGACAGCAGCGCTGTGGTTCTCTCTTGCCCAGCTGAGCCGGCCCGGTGGGACACCCCTCTGCTGCCCTTTGTGCCGTTCCCCCTGTCCCGCCACGGGCCCATCACCTGCCAGCTCCGGGGTCTCCTCCCGGGACAGCGGATGGTTCTGGGGGGACCCATGTGCGACCCGAAAACTGGGGTCCTGGTTCCAATCCTGGCCGTAACTATTCACCCTGTGTCCGGGCTTGTGTTTCCCCTGGGAGGGGTGCACATGTGCCCCCTTACAGGGCTGCCCCGGCCCATCCAGGTGGGGGCTCCGATGCAGGAGCCCGAAAGCGGGAGTATAGCTCTGGTGACGGGTGTCAGTCTCAATCCTCTCACAGGTGGGTGGGGTATTTAGGACCTCTGAAAGTAGGGAAAGGAAAGGGTGGGCTTTAACCCTTTTCCTTCTGTCTTCCCCAGGTGAGGTAGTCCCAGTGGGAGGGGTGCTCCTGGGGGAGTCCTTTGTGGAGCCCCTGAGTGGACGGGAGGCACGGGTCAGGGGGGCTGGCCTCCGGGGGGGGAAGCTAGTGCCCCACGCTGGCGGTTACCAGGCCTTGCTGGATTCACAGGCGCTGGCAGCCTGCATGAGGGTGGCGGAGCTGCTACAGGTGGCCGTCAGATCCAGTGGGCGGGGCCGCAGAGGCGGGGTCAGAGCGGCGGGGGCAGAAATGGAGCGGGCCTGGAGGAGCAGCGAACATTGCCTGCTGCAGATGGTGTGTCGCCTGGAGGTCATGCAGGACTGGGCCTGGTGGCTGGCTCAGGATGCGGGTGTTCAAGGTAGGGAAACTCCTAGGACATTCACGTCACACACGCTTTTACACGGTATACCTCAGCCAGAGCAACATGTCTTTTGCGACTTGGCTTTCAGGTGAGATCCAGTTTCCTGGCAGCGATCTGCGGCTGCCCGCTCTGCCTGGCCTAGAGTACCCTGACCCGGGTGGCTCTGGGTTACGAGTCCCGGTTCTGGGGTCACAGCTGGACTGGGCTTCGGGTCGCATGGTACCCCTGGCAGGGACGATGGAGGATGCCAATGGAGGAGGTGTGTGTGTGTGTGTGTGTGTATGCGGGATGTGCCACGTCCGCATAGATCCAAACTTGCAGCTTCATCACACAAGGAGTTTAGTCTCCTCCAGAAAGACTAGCTTTGAGCCTTTCGTGGTGCCTGTCCCCTACAGGGCTGGTTCCCATACGAATTGGCTCTCAAACCGTGGACCCTAACAGCGGTGCCATGGGGCCTGTGGTGGGGGCTCGTTTCGACTCACTCAGAAAATCCGTCGTTCCCATTACTGCATCTGACAGGCTGGCTGAAGGGAGGAAAGACACGGTGCTGGTGAGGTCACCAGTCAGAACCGTATCACTTTACACCATCAGAACCGCATCACTATGCATCTCACAGAGGACATCATCAGACCCACATCACTATGCATCTCACAGAGGACATCATCAGAACCACATCACTATACATATTACAGAGGATATCATCAATATGACC